GAAGGAAGGAAGGAAGGAAGGAAGGAAGGAAGGAAGGAAGGAAGGAAAGAAGGGAGGTAAGGAGGGAAGGAAGGAAGGTCGTGTGCCTATAAAACTAAGGGGAAGGACATAATAAAACTAAATGAGTCTGATTTTATGAAGTAAAACTGATGTAATATATAGAGAGGTTGAACTGAGCATCCAGGTGCTGTGGCTGTATATGCAAGTAGAAATTCATAGGTTGGTGATAGTTTCATCTTATTCTCTAGTGAAAAGAGGTAAGAGGGGAACTATATTTGATCCAACTAAGGGGGAAATTGTTCTGTTAAATAATATAAAAAGAGGGTGGGTATGAGAAAAGAACAAAGTGATTGAGTCATTTGGAGACCCAAAAATAAATGAGACTGGCTGCTGATGATCTGAGAATAGTTTGAGTATCTGCTTAGAAAAAGTTCTTTGTTTCAGTTATGAGGTTTAAGTAAAAATATAGTATTAATTCAACACATAATGAAGTACTATATAGTAATTTAAGAGCATTATTGATTTGATTATGATGAAAGATTCATAGAATGAAGTTATAAATGCTGGGAGAATGTTGGAAGAATGGAAAGCTTCCTTCATAGATGGTACGTAACTGCAGGAATATCAAAACATGGGTGTAGTTTTTCCCTTCGTTGATTCAATGTGCCTTGCAAATCTTTGGCAGGGTTCTCATAAATCCTGTGTGAAAGGTAAAGGTGGGCTGTATTTGGGAAGGGCAACCTGGCTTTTTACTGGGCAGTTGTGCAGCCAAATTTTGGTACTTCAGCAAGTTACTGAGAATATTTCGGTGTGTGTGTGTGTGTGTGTGAATGGCATATACTATCTGCCAATTTAGAGAAAGTACATGTGAAGTAAGTATGAATAAAGGAATGCTTTGTCCAAATATGGAGTTGGTTCAGTTGTTGAATGCAATAAGAAATGTTTATAATGGAAATACAGCATGTGTCTGAATGAAACGTTTATTAACTGGTTTAGCACTCAGCAGGATGATAAAGGCATATGATACAATGCCTTCCTGGTTGTTTAATATATCAATGGATATATGTAAATGGGAGATCGTGATGTTAGAGGTGTACCTCTTGAAGATGTGAATCTATGCACACTTCTGTGACTATGTGTATTTAACTGAAAATCCAAATCTAGGCTTTTCCAAATGCTTCTCTCCTCCCTCCCCATCAGATAACATTTCTACTACCTTTTTTTGTACATTGGGCCAATCTTCTGCAAGCATGAGGCTCAGGCTAATAGTGTCTTGTGGTGTCTTCATTTTTATTTAAATTATAATTATTCAATGGTCTTCCTTGGGTATTTTATTTCCACTCCCCCCCCTTTCTGCTAACAATTTAAGCAGAACAAATTAAAAATGGATGTGTTTACAATCTTTCTGAAATACAAAATAAGTGGAATTCAGTCTTTAAACTGCATATAGAAATCCTATTATTGGCCAAGCTTCACATTTGTGATGCAGGAGAACGTCCTTTCTTTTCCACCTATTCAGAATATTCCCCTTCTATGTTGGAGAAATTTGCTAAAGGAAGAACTGCTCTTGTAGGCTTCAATACCAGGGTTGATCTTTGATATATCTTAATATCTTGATCCTGGAAATGATTTCAGAGTTAGCAATTAATACAGATCTTTCTGGACTGTTTGATATGAATACTAGATACCACCTGCAGTTTAATGGGTGCATTTTGCAACAATTGAAGCTTGTTGAAGCATAGCAATTGACCAGCAGAAAGCACATGTGATGGCTAAAGACAGGGTTGATTATTTAAATTTTAAAGAAAAATGAAAAGTGTGTGTGTGGGGGGGGGGGGAATTCAGCTATATTTGAAAACGTTTGAAATCTTTCCAGGAAAAGGTTAACAGTCCACAAGGAATAAATAAAAAGCATAAATATTTTGCATTGATTAAACTTAATATTTATTCAGATGGAGTCTCTAAGTTTGTTTCATGGAATAAGCTAGTCAACCGAATGCTCTTTATAATAATTAATAATTGTAATCTATTTTGTCAAAACTATCTCACAAAAGGTACTTCCTGACAGCTAATTTAATCAAATCCCCCTGTCTTTCTCCTATGGGATCCCCCCACCCACCCCGCACTTCCATTTAGCAGTAGTTAGTTTTACTTAAAAGTACTACTTTAAGGCATCTTCTCTAAGTGATGCTCTCAGATATACTGAATTTTAACTTCCACCATTCCTAATCATACAGTCATGCTAGTTGGGAATTTCATGAAATGATTCTGGACACCTCTGGAGAGAAAGGAAAGAGAAAGACACATTAAAGTCAAACTCAGCAATTCCAAGCACCTGCATCCTTGCAGTTTCATTGGCAACTGAGATTTGATGCAGCCTTTAAGGAGTGTTTTTGATATCACGCACGTACACACATACCCCAAAGTTAATACTATTTCTGTATTTATTATCTGCAAAGTCATTTTGATTCCCCATGTAAGGAATATTGTCCTCCTGGAGAAAGGCAAAACAAGTACCGGTAGTTCATTTTCTATCTCCAACCCTGACATATTGGCAACATGTAAGAAGAGTTTCTAGCACTTGGCAAGTGATCCAGGATTTAGAATGCTTGAATGAAGCGTCACAAAAGGGTAACTTTAAAGAACAAATAATACGTACATTGTAATCATTAATAATTTTAAAAGAAAAAAGGATGAGAAATCTAATAGCAAGCGAAATGAAAGACTGACCAATTTTTAATTTAAAAAAGCCAAACATTTAATTAATTACAGAATAGCATTCACTGATGAGCTTAAGTGATCTGATTCAGTCATGAAAACAGGACACTTTTTGCAATTGCATTCTAATAATATGCTCCCTCTTCCAAAAAATCCAAAATCCAAAGCAACAATAAAATCTAAATGTATATCATCTTATAATTAACATTAGCTAAAATTTCATCCTGTTTTAAGTATGACAAGGTCTGTACAGTAGAATGGATAACACAGTGGATTCTTAAAAGTTTCCCACTCCCTTGGAATGCCTGTTCATAACAAATACTTCAGAAACTTCCCTGAGCTTTGACTGAGTAACTGAATACAGATCACACATACCTGGTTTCACTATTAAATATAGGCTTTCCCCTGAATGCAGCTAACTGGGCTGGGCTGAAAAATCAGTGACCACTAGATGGCAGCCAAGGGCTAGGGTGGTTTTGGAGGCCTCCACCTTTTTCTAACATCTATAGCAGCAGTCCCCAACCTTTCTGGCACCAGAGATGGGTTTCATGGAAGACAAGTTTTCCATGGACTAGGGAGAGGAGGGGGGAGGGGAGAATTATTTTGGTTTCACTCACAGGCCCGCTGATCACCTCCAGCTGTGTGGCCCAGCTCCTAGCAAGCCATGGCCCGATACTGGTTGAGACCCCTAATCTATGGTCATCCAGATTTTTTTCACCCCAGATCTACTTAAACAGAATACCTGAATTTATTGCCGCAATCAAGAGAGGACATAGAGAGGACATCTTGATGAAAGATAAGACATAACTCTTAACAGGTGGGGGAACTCTGTGTGTACAATAAAGTTAACATACTTCATCAAGTCATTTAGTCCCAAAGACTACAAGTTGTTCTAGAGTGCAAGACTGGGATGGGGGCACATCTGGATTTTTAAAAACGAAACCGGTCCTGGGTGCTCCTACTACAAAGTGTCTGTGGTGAAGGAGCTTCTCTAAACACACAGTGGATGCTACTGTGCTGTGACCAATCACAAGGCATGCATGTTTGTCAAGATAAGCAAAGGAAGATGCTTTCTGCCATGCCATCAGGACCCCTTCTGCTCCCTCAGCTTCCCTTTGCTTTTCTTCTTCTGCATACTTTCATTTCCAAACAGTTTGATGTTGTCAGCTCTCATTTTTAAAGAGAGCCTTGGGGGATAATGGTAGCTATGTCCAAACAGAACCTGCCCAATATTTAAACCAAAGAGTGCCTTTGACAAGAAGACAGCTGATTTTCGAAACTAGCTGTAGTGATGAAGAGGTGTGGAAAAACATCACACCTCTTCATCACTACAGCTAGTTTTGAAAATCGGTTTGAGAATCTAAATAAGACGTGTGCACTTGTCAGGGGCTAAATTTAATTGAATATAATAAGACTTACTTCCAAACAGAATGTCTTGGCTGAGCTATTTTTCTGTAGTCCCACCCATTTAGAAATGTATATCATTGGGTTGTCTGTTCTTATGCGCTTTAAAAGTGGAAGATACCGTACTGTCTTCACCCAACACAATCATATGAAATATCACATTTTATAGGCAGGAAAGGTTCTTTTCTTGAAGAACCCCTGCCCTTTTCCCCATTAAAGTGATTGAGCATGGCTTCTGTCTTGTACAGATGTTGATCACCATGTATAATGCACTCCATGTTTTGAACTTGACTCTACAATTAATTGACACCATTAACTGTTGTGAATGCTTGACATAGAAGGCAGAAGGCATCTGGAAATATAAAATTTGGCACTATTGTTCAGAATGACACAGATTGCTGATATTTCTTCTTTGCTAGTTTTGTTGATCAGTTGATTTGGGATTGTTCTTGAATACAAGAACATCGTCTCTCTCTCTCTCTCTCTTGGGTCGAGAGACTTAAAAGATCATTCTTAGATGGCCATCAAAGCAAAAACATGCTTGCTCGAATTAGGCATTTATATAGAAAGGCTTATGCATTGTACGGGTGAATCCCAACCACGTATGTATGTTCTTGCTTCTACCAGGAATATATATTAGGCCCACTTATGGCAACAAAAACACATTAGCACATCTAGCACAACAATGAGATGTTTTGCTAGGAGAATTATTATAATAATTTTTTTTTGTATTTTGGAAAATGGGAACTTTGCCAGCTCAAGATATTTGTAATCACAGTTAGAACAATAAGTCATCCCTACAGTAATTCCCATCTCAGTAAAGTGTAAACACTTGGATTTTTGATCCTATAATAATGCATGATCTGATTCTGCTGCCCTTTGTCATTCTTGGGAACCTTAAGTCATCATTTAAATGGAATAATAGTGCATATCAGAACAATGATCCACAGGATTAACTACAGATATATTTGCAAAGAAAGAAGAGCACCCGACACAACCAATCACCCCATTTTTTGTGTGTGTATCCGTTGTCTTATTTTCACCTCTTCAGCAGCAAGCAAAATACCAATGGTGCATATTGGCTTGTATCACAGTGATCCACGAGGGAAGGTGTAGCGTGCTGAACATCGAGGAATTCATTCTCCCAGACAAACTGCTTCTGGAATCTTCAAGGAGTTTTCCTAAGGTTCTGATTCCTAGTTTTTAATATATATATATATATATATATAAATATGTATATAAATTATTATAGCCGTTTGAAGCTTATAAAAATAATTTAATGTGTACAATGTGAATTAGGGAAACAATACAACATGAAAATGAACAATTAAAAAAGCATAATTATAGCAATGGCTTTGCAAAATCATATTAACTAAATGTAAAAATACTGATCAGGAGAAATTAAAAATGCAACGTAACAGAAACTACTCCCAACAAATCAAGTACAGCTCACATTTCAGCTTTCTTTTCCGTTTTTGTTACTGTTTTGCTTTTTGTTCTAAATAAAGCAGTTTCCCAGGTAAACCAGCCAGGAAACACAACAAGATGTCCTATTTTACTTCATTATAAAGCTACATCAACAGAATCTTGCAAGTCTGAAAGTATATATCTCCTACTGTCTCTTTTACAGCCTGAGAAACTGAGAAAGGCTTTCTCCACCTACTGTACACCTGTGTGCTATGCCTTCTCTTATCTGACTGTTTCTTAGGCCAGGGGTCTCCAACCTTAGCAACTTTGCTCAGCCAGCTTTGCTGGCTGAGGAATTCTGGGAGTTGAAGTCCACAAGTCTTAAAGTTGCTAAGGTTGGAGACCCCTGCCTTAGGCAGAATTTCCTTACCCTCTCTCAAGATCTTTCTCACACAAGCGCACACACTCCACAAAACAATTAATCACAAATTTCTTCTTTAAAAAGTCAGCATTGTTGCAATGCTCCCTTAAGAAAATAATCTCTAAAATTGGTCTTACCACACAAGAAGTCTTGTTTCTAATAAATACCTGATTGAATATTCAACAAAGTGACATACAGAAATTGTCAGATAAATAAAGAAGCAAGTAGCCATTTAGATTTCTCTTCATAAAAATACACTGCTCAAAAAAATAAAGGGAACACAAAAATAAGACATCCTAGATCTGAATGAATGAAATATTCTTATTAAATACTTTGTTCATTACATAGTTGAATGTGCTGACAACAAAATCACACAAAAATTATCAATGGAAATCAAATTTAGCAACCCATGGAAGTCTGGATTTGGAGTTACACTCAAAATTAAAGTGGAAAAAAACACTACAGGCTGATCCAACTTTGAAGTAATGTCCTTAAAACAAGTCAAAATGAGGCTCAGTAGTGTGTGTGGCCTCCACGTGCCTGTATGACCTCCCTACAACACCTGGGCATGCTCCTGATGAGGTGGTGGGTGGTCTCCTGAGGGATCTCCTCCCACACCTGGACTAAAGCATCCCACAACTCCTGGACAGTCTGTGGTACAACGTGGCATTGGTGGATGGAGCGAAACATGATGTCCCAGATGTGCTCAATTGGATTCAGGTCTGGGGAACAGGCGGGCCAGTCCATAGCATCAATGCCTTCGTCTTGCAGGAACTGCTGACACACTCCAGCCACATGAGGTCTAGCATTGTCTTGCATTAGGAGGAACCCAGGGCCAACCGCACCAGCATATGGTCTCACAAGGGGTCTGAGGATCTCATCTCGGTACCTAATGGCAGTCAGGCTACCTCTGGCGAGCATATGGAGGGCTGTGTGGCCCCCTAAAGAAATGCCATCCCACACCATTACTGACCCACTGCCAAACCGGTCATGCTGGAGGATGTTGCAGGCAGCAGAACGTTATCCACAGCGTCTCCAGACCCTGTCACTTCTGTCACATGTGCTCAGCGTGAACCTGCTTTCATCTGTGAAGAGCACAGGGAGCCAGTGGCAAATTTGCCAATCTTGGTGTTCTCTGGCAAATGCCAAATGTCCTGCATAGTGTTGGGCTGTAAGTACAACCCCCACCTGTGGACGTCAGGCCCTCATACCACCCTAATGGAGTCTGTTTCTGACCGTTTGAGCAACCACATGCACATTTGTGGCCCGCTGGAGGTCATTTTGCAGAGCTCTGGCAGTGGTCCTCCTGTCCCTCCTTGCACAAAGGCGGAGGTAGCGGTCCTGATGATGGGCTGTTGCCCTCCTACGGCCTCCTCCACGTCTCCTGATGTACTGGCCTGTCTCCTGGTAGCGCCTCCATGCTCTGGACACTACACTGACAGACACAGCAAACCTTGCCACAGCTCGCATTGATGTGTCATCCTGGATGAGCTGCACTACCTGAGCCACTTGTGTGGGTTGTAGACTCCGTCTCATGCTACCACTAGAGTGAAAGCACCGCCAGCATTGAAAAGTGACCAAACCATCAGCCAGAAAGCATAGGAACTGAGAAGTGGTCTGTGGTCATCACCTGCAGAACCACTCCTTTATTGGGGATGTCTTGCTAACTGCCTCTGCTTTCCACCTGTTGTCTATTCCATTTGCACAACAGCATGTGAAATGGATTGTCAATCAGTGTTGCTACCTAAGTGGACAGTTTGACTTCACAAAAGTGTGATTGACTTGGAGTTACATTGTGTTGTTTAAGTGTTCCCTTTATTTTTTTGAGCAGTGTATATATGAAAGTTAAGTTCATTTGCCACTAAATCTCTCTCAAAATTTCAATGATAGCCAACACAACTACTCCGCTCAGGTTCAGAATGGTGATTTTTCTTCTCATGGGGATTCCAGATTAGTTACCTAGACCAGGGGAAAATTCCACTATTTTCCCACTGAAATCAATAAAGTCATAACAAGTACCAACAAGAAATATGTCTTTTCCATGTGACAAAGGGCCAATTCATTTGAAAATCTATTAGAATTAACCCTCCCAAAAAAGCCAAATGAAAACCAGCTGAATTACCTAGAGATAATTAAATAGGGCTAATGTGTGTGGATGACTAATATGGTATCAAAAAGATACAGAAAACATTTAATGCTTTGTTCCCCTCTAGTGGCTGTCTGGATTTTTGCAGCCCAGGTAACCTTATAATTGTGAACAGCAGTATTACTACGGAGGTTCCCATTTCAGCTTCAGGTCCCTAAAATTGCTTATGCTGCTTCCCTATTTCACTCTGATTACACAAGAAAGATAAAATACATTGTAACCCCAAATGCAAACACTTTAAACTTTACTTTATAAATATTCACCTGTGAGGCCTAATTAGACTTCAAGCGAAGAAATGTAAAGACGGTGTTACTTTCCTTGGATTCAAAAAACGAGTCGTAATCCTAAAGATAAAGAAAGGATTTTTTAAAAAAGTATACTTTTAAAATGTTCATCCTTCAACACATAAACATATGTTTGTGTGTGTATGTGTGCCCTCAGATGTATTTGATTAATTCCCACAATCCTTTGCCAGCATAAGTTAAGTCAGTGGTTTTTTTTACCCTGGCAACTTTAAGATGTATGGATTTCAACTCCCAGAATTCTCCCAGTCAGCCATACTGACTATGGAATTCTGGGAGTTGAAGTCCATGTCTTTTAGTTGCCAAGGTTCAGAAGCAATGAGCCAAGAATTATAGGAGTTAATTCTAGTACATCATGAAAGTGGTGTATATAATCAAAAATTGCAGTGTGATCAAGCAGTTAATAATGTCCCCCTGGAGATACAACTGGTGCCCATTTTTCTGAAGTTCTAGAAAGCCCTTAAAATTGGCTCTGTTCCCAGGTATTGGGTTCATGCATTAATATATTTGCAGGGGGCCTGCTGTATTTAGACATTTTACTTCTTGTGTGTATTTGTTTTTGTTGTCTTCTGGATTTTGTAGGCCACCCGGAATCTAATAGAGTGGTCAACTACAACATATTTAATAAATTAAATTTAGAGTTGAAGATAATTCTATTTTGTTCATCCATCTAAAGTATCTGGTAGAAATACAATAGAATAAGTTGCAGCATTCCTCACAAGAAACTGTACTGCTTTCCTTGTGATATGAAAACACAGGATAAACAATAAATTAAATATTTACTTTCCTTTCTAGTACCACTGCCCCACAGATCAGTACAGATCAAAGGACTATAAATGGCTGCTTAATCTGCTCATCTATTCCACTGCCAGACTGGATATAGAAATGTAAATAATTAACCACTCAAACCCACTTATAAGAAGGTAATTATATGTAGATTCATTGCTCATACATTCCTTGTTTTGCCATTTCACTCAAACACTCTGACTTCAGAGACACCCTGAAGCCAGGCCAACACCTTTGAAACAAGTTAGACAACTTCTTCTGGTTTCATGTTTGATGTGGAAAGCAGAGTTCATGATTTCTGGTTGTAATGTCTAACTCTTCAGGCCAAACATGGCAAACCAGCCCTACTGTGAAGCTCTGCTCAGTCACCTGGGGGTCATTGACTCCCATTCAGCCAAGGCTAGGATGGGATCTCCTGATTTGAAATAACAAAACACAAAGCAAAATCTTAAAGGAGGTTTTTAACATGAACGGTGAAGCACCAAAAGCAGGTTCACCAAAGCCTGTGTTATCATGCAGTTTTGATTTATTTTAAAAAGAATCTAATATTGTCCTGCTCATTGTCCTGAAATCATGATCTGTCAATTTTAGAATCTTATATATCTGTTTACTAGCTCTATACCTGTGTTTCGCTATAAAACTATGTGATCGGGCTTAGTTTTTGGGGAGAAAAACAGAGGGGGGGAATTGTGCCTCTGCCTACCAGCATCCATCTGTAGCATCCCATCAGTGTGTGAGAGAATTGAGGGCTGTTTGGAAACTGAAACATGGAAACTGAAACAGTATTTACTGTGTGAGTATTGAGCCTGGGTGTGTCTTAGCTCAACTGTTCTATACTAAAGTTGGTTGCTGCTGTGAAAATAAAACTAAAACTGAAACTCCTCTCCTCTGCTTGTGTTTTGCATTTGGAACAGATTTCTTTTCAGGTGGGGAGGGGGAGTAGAACTCCTTAGCATCAAAGTGTGTTAATAGTAATATACGAAATACTAATTCTCTGATGGTCATTTGGAAAAATGCTTTCTTAGTGAGCACCTAGAAGCCAAGAGGAACATATGTGCCAAATTTCAAGTTTGTAGGTTTTACGGTTCTGGAGATTTTGTGATGATGCGTCAGTGGTATTTCACTTACATAGATAGATAGATTACTTATTAAACATATTTGTAACCTACCCACTATCCTGAGGATCTCACACTTCAGATTACACATGCACAAACAAAAAAGGATCTATTTCAAGGGGAGGGGAGGGTAAATTCATGGGATGTATTTCTGCAATTTTATTTTACCCATAGCAGGATATATAGCTAATTACGTTTTTAAAGCAATGCTTTACTTCTATTATTATGCCACATCAAGTGGAAGAAAAAGCTTTCCTTGACATCACATTCAAATTCATATGACCCTAATCCTAACCCTAACCATATTGGCATTCCACAGGAAAAAATACTCTTCATACCAGATGCAAAGCCAATATTTTGCATATATTGTATCCGATCACAGCTATTGATTTACATTTTTCACTAACTCATATTGATAGCCAATTGCTCTTGGCTAAGTATATGATGTAACTTCCATCTATCATGGTTTATAAAATACAGTTTATGGCTTCGCATATATGAATTCACTATTTATAGGTAATCCAAGGTATCATTTACATAGCCATGCGTTTGTGTGATGTGTGAACCCAGTCAAAATTAGTTCACTACAGCACATTGCTTTTTTCCTCCAAATGAAATAAGTCTAAGATGGCTCTCCCTGCACGAAAATAACAAGCATCCCAATTTGTTTGTCCATAAGCTTTTTCTCTATTGTGAAAACTATCACAGATTTGTTTTCAGACAAGCTTCTGAAAGTGAACCTCAAGTTTCAAAATGAAAGTTATTCTCCTCCAGTAAGGCTCATCAGGATGAGTACAGTCCAGAGGTGGTATTCAGCAGGTTCTGACCAGTTCTGGAGAACCGGTAGCGGAAATTTTGAGTAGTTTGGAGAACCGGCAAATACCATCTCTAACTGGAGATTTTACAGTATCCTTCCCCTGCCACGCCCACAGAATCAGTAGTAAAAAATTTTTTGAATCCCACCACTGGCTACAGCCCACTAAATAGTCGGTTTCTCTCAGCCAACCCAGCTCACAGGGCTGTTGTTGAATGGGGAAAATAGGAGAAGGAAGGACTAATATGTATGTTTGCCACCTTGAATTATTTATAATCATACAATGACGGGATAAAAATCTAATAAATAAATAAATTATTCTGCCAGTTTCCCATTCTGTCCCATGTTACAGGAAGTGTATAAATTTAATAAATAAAACAAAAATAAATAATCCAAATTAATTGGAGCGATAAGGTTGAAGAAGCACACTTATGCTAAGTTTCTTCTGAATGTCCAGCTTTGTTCTTTACCTCTTGTCCTCAGGCTTTCCCTACTTTAATTCAAGATGTAATACTGCATTTACTCCTTCTCACATAAATTAAAGCACTGTCTTACATCATTTAACCACACCCCTTAAAATCTGGTATTATTATAAATAATCTAGTGCATTAATAACATATAATTAAAATAGTTTGTGTATGTTGTTTTTAAAAGGCTTCTTCTTGTACTTTAAAAAAATATATATCCTGAAATGAAGCGGATTAAATTCTCTTATCACTCCATTTTAACAGGAAAAACTTGCACTGAGTGTCTGCTAGAAAAAAAGTTGGATTATAATTCAGTATTATTTGATAGTGATCTTTCCCTCCCTCCCTCCCTCTCTCTCTCTCACACACACACACAATTCTCTTTCAAGGCCAGAATATTGTACCTAATTCTGACAAAGATTGAGAAAAGTATTTAACATTAAAGTGAATTAAGTATTTAATACAACATTTAGTACATGTAATAAAAGTTATTAAATCCAGAAGAAAAGAGATAATTCATTCAGGTTCTCAGCCAAAATTATAATTCATACCTGAACCTCTTGCACTTTACTTCTACCATACAAAAAAATCCCAAAACTGAAATCAAACTTGTTCAAGGCCACGTTCTGAACACATCTCGAGGCTGAATAACAATGGTAATCTAGTCCTCACATTACATTAAACTAAATGCAAGAAAAATCATTTGATGGCTTAACTGGTATAAACAAAGCCAAGGACTTAAATCCTTTTGCAGGCTTTATGTTCCTTTTCAGTTTTTATATTATGAATAAGTTCCACTTCCCACATTTTATTTCTGCAACATCCACACTCCACATTTACCATGTCATCCTTCAAGCAAGAATAGTGGAGCCTCTTTGAAGTGATTGGCCCTATTTCTCTTAAGTACTCTAACAAAAAATAGCACCAAAAATAGCACCATATGAATATGTACTATTGTACATAAAAAGGGATCTGATGTGAAGGAGAATACAAAAGGAAGTAAAGAGATGACAGAGGAAACTCATAGGAGTATATAAAATCAGTTTTTATGTAGGTACCCAAATATTAAAAAATAAATAAAATCCCAGGGTCCTTTTAATTCTATCAACAGCTAAAATGCCAAATAAAATATTTTAAGAGATACACACAGTCCCTACATCAGCGGTCGCTAATCGGTGGACCACAGCCCACTCATGGTCCGCAAGAAATTTTTGGTGGTCCGCAGAGAAATGTCACCCCCAGACCAGCCCCCCAAAGCAATTAATCCAGGCTGCTGGGAACGCAAGGCTGCGCCGCCCACATGGCCCGCGGAAACCCTCCCTGCGCTAAGTTGCCTGCTAACTTGCCTGCTAAGTTGCTATTTTTCCTCCCCCCCCCCCCCGACCATCAGCTGTTTGGCTGTGCTGGTACATTTAGATTAGCTAGAAAGCAGGAAATAGTTGGATTTCTTGCTTTCTAGCTAATCTTTAGATCTTTGGCTCTGCTAGCAGAGCCGAACCTTCCTTAGGACTGAAGGTTCTATTAGTCAGTTGCAGACTCAGACAGCCAATGGCAGAAACACAGATCTCTAAGTGAATCTGTGATTCTGTGAGCAACTCAATCTGCCTGTCTGCTTTGCCTGATTTTGGGTAAAAGTTGCTCTTTTTTTAATAAAAAATTCAATATTTACATACATGGTGTGTTGTGAATTAATTTTGTGAGTTTGCTTGCTAGCAAATTTTATGAGTTTGCTTGCAAGCAAATTTTATGTGACAGACTCAGGTAGCCAATGGCAGAAAGATCTGAATCTGTGATTCTGTAAGCAACTCAATCTGCCTGCCTGCTTTACCTGCTTTTGGGTAAAAGTTGCTCCTTTTTTAT